TACTGTTTGAGTGCATACTTTGAGGTATCCTCGTAATAACCTTATTATTATACATTTTTCCTTCCAAGGATACATCATGAGAATGTCAAAAAACAGAATCAGCAAACTTCTTTGTGTGGAGCCTGAGCCCAGTCAAACCCTGATGGCAGCCATGTTTGTTTTGTATTATTAGAGGATGCTTACGCGCGTAATCATTATATATTTGAATTGGACAAATTAATGCTTTTTTCCAGATGCATGGAACTTTTGCACTGTCAAAGCAAAGTTGAAAAAGATGTGTTAAAATGGCAACAGAACTGTCATTCTTAAGCACTTCATACGGGATTCTATCTACCCCAACTGCCTTCCCTGACTTTGCTTTTGCTACCACTGTCTACAGTTAGAGAAATTCTTATTTAATTCAGAATTACTATCATACAGTGGATCATCCAATTCATTTTCTAGGACCAATTTATGATGTAAAATATGTTCATAGAAATTTGCGTCAAATCCATCTAGATCAGATTGATTATAAAGGGATGAAAAATCGTGTTTTCACTTATTTAAAACAATGTTATGATTACTTGTAATTTTAACCCCCGTCATCGTAAACTTCCATTGGGATATCTTTACGTTTGACTGGTCGTAATTTATTAATATGCTCCCAAAATTTGTGTGGGTTTTCAGTACATACCCTTTCAATGCTAGAAACAAGATCATTCCTATTATTTCGTTCGCAGCACCGAAGTTTTTTGTCAAATGCCTGTCTCGCTGCTTTGAAATCATTACGTAATATCGTTCTAATATTCTTAGAGCCGCCAAATCGAGTATAAAAGCGTTCTCGTTCTCTCATATCACGCCACATACTATATACTATAGCTCGTCGTCCCAGTATGGCTTATGATGACGGAATCTTTCCCGTGCCCCACCGGAGCAGTTATAATTTGGAATAGTCGAATTCATTTCATTTAAAATACATTTACATAGATCATCACAAATCTCATCAATTTCTTGTTGAGTTTCCCTACAAATTTCAATCTTAGAAATTATATGTAATAACGCTTCCCTAGCTACTTCTGATTCTAGGAAATTAATAGGAGTCTGGTTGAGACTACACTTTCTATCAGTAGCGCTGTGCCGGTTATTAATATCATTTGGCAAACTATTGAACCCTGGGCCAGTGGTCTATCCAGAAAATCAAAAATTAAAAGTGAGTGGTCAGGGAGTTTACTTCTATCAGTGAGTGCATCATATAAATTGTACTTCTCAACCAGAGACGACATAGTTATAACATTAAAATTATTACAATAACTTAAATGGTCTTGGAAAACGCACACGTAATCAACTACTGATCTCCCCCCTACTATAAATAAAAGTAAAATAATTTTGGTGTCTATTGAAACGACCAGTCAAAATACATAGCTTAGATCCCTACAGGAACTCGCAAAAACTGTGACCATGTTGATTAATTTTAGTATCGATCACGTGTTTATTCCTAATGTTATCAACTACATCAATATTATCATTCGAATTTCCCAAGCGAGCATTGAGATCACCACATATAATAATTGTATCGACGTCATCTGTCATATAAAGCTGACTAAATAAGTGACTAAAGAATGCAATTGCATTTCTTCCCCAAGGCGAATTTTCAGGTGGCAAATAACAAACTAGGAAAGTGAACCCAGTTAATTTATTCTCAAACCGAACTCCGAGTATGTCTTTGTGGCCCTTGTCAATTATTGATATCAGATACTCATTATATTGTGAGCACTTAACAAATAGATCAACCCCGCCAAATGTCCGGTTTGCGTCAGCATGAACTAGATTTCTATTGTGTCCAATCCAACTGTAATTATCATTACTAATTACGTCATCGCGAGGTAAATGGGATTCGTTAATACTAATGATATTGGCGTTTAAACCTCTTAGTATTCTTTCACAGAGATTACAGTTCCATTATGTCCAGTCACGAATGTTAATATGTGCAATTTTCAGTCCACCGAGCTGAGTTGAATTCTATACTGTATTACCGTGCATAGTCTCCAAGCGACCTTGGTTCTCTTCTCTTCGATTTCCACGTTGATTGTAAGTCTTACCACCGTCCCTCAACACGAGGGACGGTGGTCTTACGCACAATTCTGCCACTATCGGTGATGCGAAAATCGCTACCATTTGGCAATTCGTTGCGGCTGATCTGCACTGGCTCGGAAGATGAATTCTGATTGGCTAAAAAAACAAAAAACTTGTGGCGTTGAATGCACGTTCATTGTCAGTATTGTTATGCAAATTAAAACTAGCTAATCATTTACAACCTTCCGAGCCAGTGCAGATTAGCCCATTCGTTGAGTAGGGTACGATCCGTATGTGTTTTACTAGACCGAAGAAACACCCGTTGAAATTCGGCACTGTTTTTCAAACGATGTTTTGCACGAAGTATTTGCTTCTTTTGTTCTAGATCCTTACATGCAAATTTTACTAACCCGGGACACCTGGTTGTCGAGATTGTAATCGGACTGCTTTAATAATTGTTGTATTATCCGCAACGTCATCGCCAAGTTTTTTAAGCATACTTTTAAGTACACCAACAGGATTTTCATCAAAATGTTGCTTAAGACCAGACACAATTAATGTAATTAATTAATTAATGTAATCAGAAAGCTCCTTCATTTTACTTGCCATGGTTTTAGTTAAATCTGTTCTCAGACGATCTATCTTACTGTCGATCAAACGTTGAATTGTATTCTGACCGTCACACAACTGCTTCAACATTGTTCTGACGTCATCCTCATTGTTAGTGGCTTCGTCCATCGTGTCCGAGTCAATAGAATTTGGCCTCGGGCGTTTTTCTTGTCCAGCCATAATCATTATGTCGTATGTACTTGCCAACGGTACCATTGCCAGCGTTTGTTATAATTTGTTATAATTTAACTGTTAAAGTGCTTCTTGTTTACAAACAAGCGTCTACCCATGAGCCTTTGCGTATTCAGTGTGTGTTGTTAATGTCGCATGGGACTCAATTCCCGCGCGTGCGCAGGTGACGACCCTCTCGCTTTAAATCCTACATGTTTCATTGTGGAGTATCTTTAGGAAATGTACAATACCGGTACAAACGTTGCAATCGAAGTGCTAAGTACCTAATATATATATGCAATAAATCAGTAGTAGTATAACTCCGCATTAAACTGATAAGATCAAACCCACATGAGAGAAATACAAAAAATATGCTGGGTCTCGGAACTCAGAACTCCAAATCAAGTATTTGTTGTTGTTCGTATATAAAACTCGTCACAGCTTCATCTGGTGTATTGCGCCATCACACAGCACCAATGAGTGTTTCATGTCTGTCAAATGGGGGCGCTGTAAACTATCTTAGAAAAATTGTTACTCTCAGTTTTTTGTCGTTATGCTAAACACTCTACACACTTCCTCTGATGTTTTTGGTTATATCGTGCTGATGTGCAAAATCATACTTACAGCTGTGCAGTATTCATGCAAAATACACCACCCGGTGTTAAAAATTAAGCCGCCGTTATTATATATGTCATATGTAATCGTACAGTTTGATGTCGCACATGTGTGTCACGTTTGTGAATAGACCGCCATCTACGTTAAATGCTTTCTATTTCGTAAATACCATCAAAACAGTTAACATATTATACCCAAATCTTATACAAGACAATGTTTTGTTAATACGCTTCCTTTTCGACCGTGTGTCACTCACTTTCCGAATTTACGTTTTCCTCTATTGAGATTGAAGGCTTCTTTTGGTGGGTGATTTGAACCAACGGCGCTCAGAAATGTCACATTTTGCACCCGTCAGTTGTAGGTAGTTGCAGAACCAGGAATTTGTGACACAAATCAAGATTTCCCCGACTACACATGTAACCTATAAGAACGCTAATGGCACGGCCAGAAGGTATTTAAATGTGTCTCTCCCCCGTGGTGGTACACAGCATCAAATATGAAACCACGGTTCTTTTTTAGTAACCGTGATGAAACGCTAACTGGTTCCCGAGTAACATGTCACCGTATCACACGGACAATAATTCATGATTTCTATAAATCCAAGATTAGATAATTGGCCGTTTTTTATTAAATTAAAAAAAATAACGTAAGGATAGAGTCTCTGTCAAATTGTCAACGTATAGTCGTTCATATCATGAAATTCGTCGGGAACAGCTTTTACCTTGATTAATATGCAAATCCTATATCACTGCAATGCTTGACTCAGCTGTTACTGCCTATATTGTAGTCTCCAGTCACCATGTGGTACTCTCTGCCACGAAAGCTCTATCACTCCAAAAAAAATGGAGACAGTTGACATGGCAACAAAGCTTATTTTCTATGGTAATATTCATGATGTGACACAAATCGCATATTCGTAAGTTAAAAAAACTAGCAGTCAGACACCATTTTGTTTTTTGAATGAACATCACCCAATGTCCAGCATGCGTTTACCGATGAGACTAGCGAGGCGGACAATGGCTCTCACGGTACGTGTTCTGCTGGGTATCGTTGCTATCGCCGGTATAACCACCATAATTTTACAGATGTATTTATTGAATGAGAAATACGTAACAGAGCTGTCAGTAAAAAATCTACAGATTCAAGGGTCGTTTGACAGCGCGACAGACGAACGGAATTATCCGGACAATAACGTAAACATTAATGCTGTACCAGCGGATTTCCAATGGAAAACTGAAACTACGATAAAAGTACCAGAAGTGAGAAAGTGGTTACACGAATTCGAGGCAAGTGACATTCATCCCCTGGGATGGATAGTTATTGTTGACATCTAGAAAACATTTTAATTTCATTTAATTTATTTATATATTCTTCTTTTAATTATATTCAAAATTCTATTCTATTCTATTCTATTCTATTCTATTCTATTCTATT